ACAGGTTTTGACTTACTGCATATTTAGTCAAAATCTCTGCAATCACCATTCCCGAGCAAAGTGCGAGGTGATTCAAAATATGTTTGTAAACCCCTAAAAAACACCAATCCCATACGAACTACTAATTGAGACTCTGATTCCTCATAAGAGGATACGTAGGCATACGATCAAAAATCGTGACGAGTTCCCCTATAAAAAATTTAAACCCTTTCTTCCTAATTAAAATTTAAAACCCTATTTACCCCAAACCTAAACCTAAAACCTAATATCCTTGTGAACAAGGTAGATGAAAAGTGTCTAACACCTTCCTTTTGTCTAACTGAGTTCGAACTTAGAATCTCTGTCTGCGAATTAGGGTTTTCTGTTAGATTCCCTTCCCTAGGATAAAAACTAATAGTGGCGACTCTTGATTAAAAAACCGATTGCTACAAACTCAATAATACATAACAGAAGAAATGGTAAAAACACTGATATAACAATCCAATTTTTTCATTAAAGCAACCTGAATCTTACATACTTTCACAATATTGACAACAACTCTATTTCAAATACATGGTTACAAAGAATAAATTAAACCCTAGACAAATAATGGTTAATGCTATTGCATTCTTTAACAGTCCTCTTATGCTTAACACCTCATTCTTCAACTTCAATATTTTCTTCCTTTGCCTTTCAATCTTCAAATCCCTTATATCAACAACTTCATCACCTACCCACTTGAAAAAGTTGTATCCCTTCTCCAATTGATTTCTGTAATTTCTACAGTCCTAAAACTTTTTCACAACATTGACACTATTCAGATCTGTAACAGTATGCATCACACACTCTTCTTGGTACCAACAATCCATCATTTTGTTTCTTATCACCACAGATCCAAATGACCCACAACTTTGCGTGTTTGATTTTGAGTAATTACTGAAATTCATTGACATCTTCACATAATTTTCGTGGGAATCGTTTACGTGAACAAAGATGAGTAGAAGACTAATGAAGAAGAGGAATGAGAAAGGAGAAGAAGAAACCTGGCCCTGAATCGTGAAAATGGAGAAGACTGAAAAAATATAATGCAATATGCTGAGTCACAAATGTAAAATAAGCCTTGTTGTCACGCCAGATCACCCAACTTAACGTTTTCACACTCAAATTAACGGAATAGACCAACTTGGATAACGAAAGTTTTTTTCCGAGACTTAAATGTAACTTTTATCACATAAGAGACCAAACTAAAACCTTAAATTAAGTTATGGGACTTAAGGACTAACTAAACCTACTTTTTTATACCGTTAAGGATAATTTTATAAAATTACATAAAATTTACTTTTTATATAAATTTAGTTATATTTTAAATTTATATAAAACAATTAAAATATTATATAATTTGAGACGAATAAAGAATTTAAATATATTTTACTTTACAATTATTTAAATATATTAATAGCTAAATTCATTATAGAATAAATTTATGTTTATTTTTTTAATTTTTATAAAAAATTTAAATACTTCACTTATAATGAAATTGATAGAGTAAAGTTATGAGAGAAAAAACAATGTCAATCAATAATAACTATATATTTCATCCAATTAAATTAAATTTTTTTAATTAATCGTATGATATTATAGATTAATATATTTTTATTAAATAATAATGTAAAATTTTTTTACATAGTCTATACACATTCATTAAACTCAAAGATTATACTAAAGAAATTAAGAAAAGAATTTTATATCTAATTAGGTAGACAATAATAAGAAATAGACACCAATATAATATAATATCATAAATTATTGAAACTTTAATTTGCATTGCATGTGTAAAGTTGAGAATACCAAGACATTCCAATTCATAGACACGTGTGAGACATTTGTCCTAATTTCATGAAATAAATCCAAACTTCCAACGTGGAACATCAACCACGAGCTCGCCACACGCCCCTGTCGCCAAACAATCCCACCCCTCCACGTGTTCTCAATCCAACTGTCCACACACAATCTCCTCCCTTCAAAATCCCCAAAACACCCCTCACCACCACTATTTACTCCCCTTTTCCCTCTTCAGATTCATCCACAAACAAATCATTTCTCTAATGTCTCTTTCTTCTAAAGTTTCATCCTTTTCTGGTGGATTCTCTCTCTCACCTGTTTCTGAAAATGGTCTTCAGAAGCCATGTTTTGGTAATGTGAGAGTTGGTGAGAAATGGGGGAGTAGGAAATTTAGGGTCTGTGCTACAACTGCTCCTTTGACTGGGGTTATTTTTGAACCGTTTGAAGAGGTTAAGAAGGATTATCTTGCTGTTCCTTCTGTTCCTCTTGTTTCTTTGGCAAGGCAGAACTTTGCTGATGATTGTGAATCGGTTATTAATGAGCAAATTAAGTAAGCATTTCTAATGTATATGTGTCTGTGTTGGTGTCTGTGTCCGAAACCAGTACAGTTTATTAATTTTTTTTTAATTATTACTGATGTCTACGTGTCAGTGATGTCTGTGTAAGTTTTTATCATTTTTCCTTTTGCATGCATTGGATATTCTTATTGTTACTATGCTAAGTGATTTTTTTCTTTGCAATTGTTGTGTGACAGTGTGGAGTACAATGTTTCCTATGTGTATCACTCCATGTATGCATACTTTGATAGGGACAACGTGGCTCTCAAGGGATTTGCAAAGTATTAAACATGAACTCCAATATGCTTTATCTCTTTTATTCTCATTTCTAAGGGTTTTCAATTTTATGTTGCATTTTTAAATTGTTGAAAACAGGTTCTTCAAGGAATCTAGTGAAGAAGAGAGAGAACATGCTGAAAAGCTTATGAAATATCAGGTTAAATTGGCTTTGTATTTAATACATGCATGTTTTGAATTGATTTTTTTGAACTTATCTACTTGCAAAATCACCATCAAGATCTTAAAATCTTAGGATTTCGCGATCTCACTCACCCCAACGATGTAAATTTTAAGTAGAATCGTGAGTTGTAGTCAAATTGTAAAATCATTGATCCTTTGTGATCTTGGCCGATTCAGACCATGATTGACCGTTTTCTAGCCACCACCATTACGGTTCGGTGGTTGCCTACCAAAATATCCTGTAAAAATACTTCAAATATATAATATTATTTTTCATTTTAGAGTATCTTATGATTTTTGTTATGATCTTATGTTTTACCGATCTTACAAAAATAATTTGGTAGGATCTTCTCATCTTAGTTATGATCTTATGTTTTACGATATTGCTACTCTCTCCTGATCTTATAAGTAATTTGATAGAATCTTCTGATCTTAGTTATGATCTTATGTTTTGCGATCATACTATCCCCTCCCAATCTTGACAACCTTGATTAGAACACTTACATACAAGTTGTTAAGCAATTGGGAAACTCTTTGGACGAATTTATGAAAACAACTTAGAAAACTAATGTATAAGTTGTTTTCAACTTGTTTGCATAGACTTTGCAGTATAGATTATGAAAACAACTTATAGCTTATATGAAATATTTTGTTACAGAAATAGCCTATATACAATCACTTATGTGATCATTGTTTTTCAGAACACTCGTGGTGGACGAGTTGTGCTTCACCCCATCAAGGATGTGCCTTCAGAATTTGAGCATGTGGAAAAAGGAGATGCATTGCATGGTGAGCTTGTTTGCTGATTTCATCGCCGTATCAAAGTTACCTCTTTATGAACATCTTTATGTTTGCAACTTGACACATTATAGTTATGAATCTGTATCCTGTGGTTTGCCATATTCAGTAGTTCAATTATAATCAATTATGCTGAGTTTTGCTTTTTCGATTTGCTCTATTGTTTTGTTTCAGCAATGGAATTAGCTTTGTCTTTGGAGAAGTTAACAAATGAGAAACTTCTGAATGTGCATAGTGTAATGCTTCTTTGTCCCTTTAGCTTTGTGTTTGCAAACTTTTTTAGGATTCAGAAATTGTTTGATTTTTTGTTGTAAAGGCTAATCAATTTGAAGATTTGTGAATTATATAGGTGGCAGAACGCAACAATGACCTTGAAATGACACACTTCATCGAAGGCGAATATTTGAACGAACAGGTAAAATTCATTTAAATCTTAGTGTTAGGGATTCATATTAACTTTTGAAATTTAGAAGAATGAGAAAAAGTTGCTTTTAACTATGTATGGTTTTTACAGATTTTTTTCCAAATTGTTGCAGTGAACGTGTATTGGGAAGTTGACTATATTTTTTGGTAACATTACTAATGTGTTTGTCAAAACATATCATTTTCTTTCAGGTTGAAGCAATTAAGAAGATATCAGAGTATGTGGCTCAATTGAGAAGGATTGGAAAGGGTCATGGTATGTATATAGCTACCACCATTTTCCATATTGGTCCACAAACTTTGCCTGACACATATGATTATATCGACTCTTATATTATTACTTGTGTCTACGTGCCCGTGTCTCTGTAACTGTTATTTCTGGTGCTCGTGAGTGTTTGCGGTAATGTTAAACTTAAATTTTGTGCAGGTGTTTGGCACTTTGATCAAAGACTTCTTCATGGGGTACATGCTGCTTGATCACGAATAGAATAACCTTCTTTTCATGTATCTGTCTACAGTTGGTCTTTAATGAGAAGTGTTTGAGCTTGGGTGTTTTCTGTTGTAGCTTAGTTTTTCCTATGTACTAAGTTTGTAGAATAGAGTAATGTAATTGTGGAGTAAAATCTGTTAAACACGCTCTGTAATATTTGTCTTCAATAAAAAAGAGGCTATCATGTTCATGTTCACTATGTTTTAACATATGCTATTTATTTATGAACTATTAGCAAGTAGTGGTTGCGTAGCGGAATTTGAACAAACCGTTTTCAAAAAAACACATCAAGTATTGATTGAGACTCAACTTTGAACTCTAATCATTCACTTTCACTTTCTATGGAAACAAAACTAATGACATGATAGAAAGTATGAAGGAATGGAATTAACATGATGCAAATTTTGAGTCCCCTATTCTCTTCACTTTATCAATCATTCTTTAAACTTGTACTAATCCATGAAGAAAATTTTGGTCCTTTTCTTGTTGCAGGCAAGTTTAGGAGATGAAGATTCAATCATTTTCCACATGACTTGAATATCTGCATATTCACCACATGACTCCATGTCTTTATAAAGACTAACAAGTCCATTTCTGTGTCCTGTATTTCGCCAACACAACACATATAAAACAAAGGATCAAAAACAAAACATGTACAAGTTAATTAAAGAGCTTATTTTCATAAGCTAAATCTACATCAATGGATTCATATGATGCTTGTTACTTACCTTGAGATTTGAGTCTGAAGTTTGAATTCACTTTACTAAATATACTCTTAAAAGGGTAGATAGTAAGGCTCTTGAAACACCTCCAGCCCTTCCAGTTTCTCATTTTTTAGAGCAGATATCTTTCTGTTTCTTGCAGCTTCCTTTTTATAATCATGCCCTTCAGAAAAATAATATATGGTTTCTAGCAAAACAACAAAATGAATACTGCCACTGCAGAAAGCATTAAAGAAGAAGACAAAAGCCATTTGTATACTTTTGGTCCTCCCATTTTGCAAAAATAGATATTCAAGAAATTTGGTTCAATAATATCTATACTACTGATATTTATTTGGATTTTGAGTTTTTCCACTTATTCTTCTTAGGAATATTCTGAATTTGATTATGTCTATAATGAGAATACGTGTGGTGTGGGGTCCTTTTATAGCGGTTGGTTGGTTTATCTTTGAGTGGCTTTGTGTTTGTATTTGCACTTGGCTATAGATTAATGAACTAAATTGAAGATTTATTATGGCATGGAAGAGATTTATAAGTCAGAGTCTTTTAATAATGAAAGCCAATGTGTTTTGATTGGTAATTAGTGATACTGTTAACGTTGAAAGTAGCCTTAGGATTCTGTTTCAATCACTTTCTAAGTATGCATATTATTTAATCATACCTGATCAGAAGGGATTGTTAAGGCCTACGAGCTTCAAGTCGAGCAATGGTTGAATGTGAAGTTGAGAGATACCTGCAAAATACTCTGATGTCAAAGTAAAGTTCAGAGTAAGTGTGAGAGTATGAGTGAATGAATGAATATCCGACCCTCTCAAGTGAGAGGGTATATATATTCCCCAGCGCTGGGTCAAGGTCTTCATTGTTGGACTGACCAAACAGGTTCAAAATGGAGACTGTCAGGTCCTACGTGTGTAATGGAGGCCAGCACGTGGTCTCCAACCTGAATGGACTCCTCAGAATTATCAGGAGGATGTGGATGCGGTCCTTTTGGGGTCAAGAGGATTCAGTGACATTCAGAGGTGTTGGGTGCTAGCCTTACGATGAGGGTGCTCGCGAGTACCTCCTGAGTGTCGTTGGTCCTCTTCGTCAGTCGTGAGGTTGTCCCCGGAGGACATATCCTGGTCGACGAGAGGAGTGGAGGGCGCTCGCGAGGACCTCCTGAGTGTCGTTGGTCCTCCTCGCCAGTCATGGGGCTGTCCCCGGAGGATATATCCTGGTCGACGAGAAGAGTGGAATTACTGCCCGACATTGTCAAGGGCAGACTCTCTTCTGCTATTTTCTCCTGTAGTATAGTTGGATTGGGCCTTGTATGATGTTTGGGTCAAGTGCAGATCCAGTCCAGAACATGAGCCCCCAAGTCGTTGCTCCTGAGAAAATGAGTTATGATTTAAGACCAACTTCCCCGTATAGTGAGCATAATTTCGCATGGGTCTCCTATCACGTCGTTTTTATACGTGACTACTTGAGCGGAGATTGGAGTTTGCTCATGGAGAACATTTAGCTGCTCCTCGACTCGCGGGGAGACGAAAGTTCGAAGGATGTTTACTTCGTAGGTTACGTGGTGTAGCTTTTGGTTGTGACTACTCGAGCGGAGATTGGAGTTTACTTTCGGGGAAAGTTTATCTGCTCCTCGACTCGCGGAGAGACGAAAATTTGCAGGATGTTTACTTCGTAAGCCACGTGGTGTAGCTTTTGGTTGCGACTACTCGAGCAGAGATTGGAGTTTGCTTTCGGGGAAGGTTTATCTGCTCCTCGACTCGCGGAGAGATGAAAATTTGCAGGATGTTTACTTCGTAAGCCACATGGTGTAGCTTTTGGGATATAATGATGGCCTAGGGAGTAGGGGTCATTATGATCCTTAGCGTGTAGGCGACGAAGAGGTGGATGATTGACACGTTGTTCGACGCGAAGCTTCGTCTTCCCCGCTAGCCTTATAAATAGCGCATAAGGGCTCATTTGTAACATTTTCAAACTCTCGCTCTCTCCTTTATCCCTAGCGTCCTCAGTTTTCTACCGCCCTCAATTTCCTTCTCCAAGCGTAAGCACCGCTGTAACTTCCGCCGCAAACTCTCTACCAACCTTAATCAAGTAAGTGTTTCCCATCGATCACTGTTGTTTATAGTTTATTTTTTTTTACAAATCTCATGGATTTCCTGATGGTGCGACACTAAAAAAATAAAGTTGGGAACCTATTCTTCTTGTCATTAGATAAATTATAGAGGATTGGGGAGATTAGGAGAATAGAAAATGGAGTGAGCAAGTGGCCAATGTAATGGATTAGGAACATGAGTGAGAAAGAAAGAGAATAATAAATTTATTAGAAGGTGTTGAGTTGAAAGAAGGGGTCAAATATATATGGGAGTGGATGGATGAGAATTAAAATAGATATATTATTAAAGAAACCTATAAAGCTCTTACGTTCGAGTTACCTATTGTGTCTAATCAAAATTGGGCTAAAGCTTGGCACAAATCGACCCCGTCAAAAGTTTCAATGTTGGTGTGAAGAGTATTTCAAGACAAAATTGCCACTTAAGTTAATCTAGTTAGGAGAGGAGTGCTTAGACAAGAACATACTCGTTGTGTAAGTGGTTGGAGTGAGGAAGAATCGACATCGCACCTATATTTTAAATGTCCAATTTTTTCAGGTATTTGTATTAAAGTCTGCAGTTGACTTGACGTGACAACAGTTGGAAATGCACCAAAACTTATGATGGATTTCTATCAATCTTGATGAACAAGATTATTATCACCACACAATAACAATGAATTATATGAAAGAAAGAAAGAATGAGAAGACAATTATTTTCTGCAGAATTTCTCTCTGTCCACAATCTGTGGAAAACTTTATTCACTTGCAACTGCAAATTCTGTAAATAAAATTTAATTGACTTTATTATAAAAGTAGGAGTTACTCCATCTACTTATAGATTTAGGTTAGCTTGCTCCCTAAGCCAAAACTCAAAACTATGAAAGCCCAAAATACCTATTTTATAAATAAATTAAATCTATCTATTATAGATCTAAATCAAATCTAAATCTAAAACTAAATCAAATTTGTGTGTAGACTGCTTCGATCCACAAGCTCTTCGCCTGGGCAATGGTTTCCATCGAACAACCTGCTTTGACAACCTCTAACCCTTCGATACACATAGTTTCGACACACAGGAACTACAATTTAACACACCACCTAATTTACTGTGTCTAAACTATCTATATTCATCATAGTTCTTAGTCTTCGAAATACTTCGACTTGCACTCCCTTCGTCATGATGTCTGCAATTTGATTCTCAATTCTCCAGTGCTCCAAGTTCATCTTCCATTCTGCTACCTGCTCTCGAAGATAGTGGAATCTCATTTCGATGTGCTTGTTTCGACCATGAGCTATCGAGTTCTTCGACAGATTGATAGATGACATGCTATTGATCTTCATGGTAATTGCTCTGTGATTTTTCTGTGTTATCTCTTCGACCAATTTCACCATCCAAGTTGCTTAACAAGCACAAAGAGAATCAACTATATATTCTGATTCGCATGATGATAATGCCACTACTAGTTTCTTTCTCGAACTCCAAGTAACCGGTGCACCACCTAGCATAAACACATATCTTGATGTGGGTTTTATATCCTCAGTATTTCTACACCAAGTCGAATCAGTGTATCCCACTAACTTGCATTCTTTTCCCTTATCAACTGCAGGAAATAAAATTTCATAGTCAAGAGTTCCTTTCAGATACCTTAGTATCCTCTTCGCCGCTGCTAGGTGTGTACCTTTGGCTTCTGCATGAGTCTACTTACCATACCTACATTGTATGCTAAGTCAGGCCTCGTGTGACAAGGGTATCTTAATGAACCAATAAGTCTTCTGTATTGGGTTGGATCGACATCATCTTCTTCTGCATCTTTCGACAGTTGCAATATTGGTTCTGCAGGTGTCGATGTCGAGTTGCATTCTTTCATCTCAAATATCTTGATAATTTCTCCTACGTATCTTCTTTAATGCATCATCAAACCTCTACTACTCTTGTACAATTTTATGCCAAAGAAGTATGAAATATCACCCAGATCAAACATTTCAAATTCCTTGCTGAGATCACCTTTGAAGTCTTCGATCTCCTTCTTGCAGCTACCTAATATTAACAAGTCATCGATATAGAGACGTAGTATAAGCAATTCACTATTGCTTCTTCTTACATATACTCCATATTTAGTTGTGCACTTCAAAAATTCCTCCTCTTTTAGAAAATTATTAATTTTCTTATTCCAAGCTCTTGTAGCTTGTTTCAATCCATACAAGGCTTTATGCAACCTGTACACATATCTCTCTTCGTCACATTTCACAAACCCAACTGATTGTTTAATATAAACTTCTTCGTCTAAGGGTTCATTTAGGAACACACACTTCACATCCATCTGACATATGTGCCAACTGTTTATTTCTACTAGACCAACAACCAACCTGATTGTTTCGATTCTAGTCACAAGTGCAAAAACTTCATCGAAGTTTATTCCTTCCTTCTGAAGAAACCCTTTCGCCACAAGCCTTACTTTGTGTCGAGTTACTTCCCCTTTAGGATTCATCTTCACTTTGTATACCCACTTGACATCAATTGACTTCTTGCGTTGAGGCAATTCGACAAATGACCAAGTGTTGTTATCTTTGATGGATTTCACTTCTTCGTTCATTGCTTTCACCCACTTTGAATCTTTCAATGCTTCAGCTGTATTGTCTGGTTCGACATCTGCATAAAAACATAATGTACCAGCTCACCTTTATTATCAACAACATCATCTAATGTAATCACACAATATTGTAACCTTGCAGACACGCGTCTTGTTCTTTAAGGTCTGCTTGTACTTGGTTGATCTATAACTGCTTGTTCCTCTTCTTGAACTTCTCTTTTGACTTGAGTTTCTGATTCTTCAAGTAGGATTCCCACTGAATCTTTCTTGACATTTTCAGTCCAATCTCATTATTTAAGCTCATATATGATCATGTCCTTACTAGTCACAATCTGCTTGTTCACTGGGTCGAACAACTTGTAACCTTCTGTCAAATGATATCCTACTAGGATCATCTGACTCGACTTGTCATCAAGTTTTTTTCTAACT